TGCTAGAACTTAGGGACATAGATAAGCCAAAGGAATAGGCTACTATTCCTGTCCTCAGGGACCACACCATCTATGGAGGGAAATGGACAGGTACACAGAGCGGTGTGATTACACGGGACAGGGGCTCTGAGAGAAGCCTGGGAGTTGTTGGCATGAAAGGGGAATTCAGGAAAGAAGGAAGAAGAGCAAAGGTCTGAGGCTTGAAAGAGCACATGCGCACATCTCACCCCCATATCCCCACCACAATTCAGGTGAGTCTGGTGGGGGCTGCTTCCTCACCTCCTCCCTTGGGGAAACCCTCAGTTTGTTTCACCTGGCCCTTCAGAAGGAGGCTCAAAAATGCATTTTCAGGATTACCTCCTCCACTTCTCACCAGGCCCTTGCACTCCCTCACTGAACACTCACTGAACCCACCGCTGCTTGGTCTCGTACCATGACATCTCTGTCCTTCTGCTTGTGCTGCTGTTCTGATTCTAGGCCTGGAAAACTCTTCTCAACCTTCAAGGTGCAGTTCAGATGTTCCCCCAGGAAACTTCCAATGGCACAGGCAGAATCAGCCACTCACTGCATGATGCCCTCTGAACCTCTATCCCTTCTCTTTTATCCTGCTTATTGTTCTGAATTTTCCACATATGTTTTCATGTTGGTCTTATCCACAAGACTGTGAGCTCTTTGGGGGGCAGAGACTGGGATGGTTCATATCTGAGTTTATGCCCCCAACACAGAAGGAGTTCATTAAATGGATGGATAGATGGATGGATGGGGGGATGGATGGATGGATAGGTTCATGGGATATGATCCCTATCATGGAGAAGCTTACTTTTTAGCAGGTCAATTAGCTTGCAATAAACTAAGCTCAATAAAATACAGCATGTTCTTACTGGAGGTCAGAACCAAGTCTTTCAGGAGTCCCGAGGAGGGAAGGCCCTGGGATTGCTTCCTAGAGGCTGCCATTACAGTGCAGTAGTGAAAGCTGAAGAAGCCTCAGCCTTAGCTTCCGCTCCTTTGTACTGTTATCTCATTGTGTATGTGCATCTTCCTTCCTCCTCAGCCTCTCATAGCACTCGGCTTGTAGCGTCTTGTTTCTTCTTTATCACCTTTGAATGTTGGTCAGTTTGTCCTCTGAGCTAAGCAAGCACTGTGATGGGGAAGGGAATCCCGATTTGCAGAGCCAGCTCAGAGCAATCCTGGAAGCTGTTAGGCTTCTTAGGAGAACACACCTCCATAACTTACAGGGGATAGAGTGTGTCTCACACCTCTGCGGTGGGGAGTACCTGGGTGAGCAGGGAAAGATGCCTGGCTTTCCTCCCAGTATGGGATCCAGCTGTTAGGAAGATGCCTCAAGTTCCTCATTAAGAACGCCCTAAACAAAGAGGCAAGGTTGAAAGCAAAGGACAGTGGAAGTCACAGCCAGAAAGTAGTTAATTAAGAATCTTGGTGACAACAGAGGGAGAACTGCAGATACAAAGCCATAAAGCTGAGGGTAACAGGCCATCAACCAGAAACAAAGGGTATGTGGAATCTGAGAGACTTTTCTAGGTGGAATGCTGATTGCAAAAGCCTTATGGTATTTAGTCCCCCCATCCCCAACATGCTGCGTGTACACATGTGCACGCACAGCGAGGACCTGTGTGGCCTGACGAGCCAGATCTACTTACCTTCTCCACCATCGCATCACAGAATGGACGACTCTGGAAGGCAGTCATCCCTTTCTGTTAGAGGTATACAAGCACGAAAGCTTGTTAAGAGACCACAGGGGCATCATGCAGTCTGGGTCTGGGCCCCAAGGGGTTACATAACTACAACCTCCCCCACCGTATGCACACAAGATTGCTCCTTCCCTGGACCCATGGAAGACACTGGCTAGAAGACTGCCACTCCCCACAAGCCTGAGTTTGCAGAGGAGCTTGGGAACAAGAAGCCAACAACTCAGATCATCTCTGCCAAGGACAGTCCTTTGAGCCAGACATACAGATTCCAATGCAAAGAACCTGCAACCTTTCAAATATGTGCTCAGGACCGACTATAATCCAGGCCATTTCAGGCCAAGGGATACAGCAATGGGGAGAGTAGGACAAAAATTCTTGCCCTTATGGAGCTTATACTTGATGGATCACACTAAACACTTTCACACATAACTTTTTTTTTAACCTGTGTGGTAAGCATTAGAGCCCTGGTGGTGCAGTGGTTAACAGCTCAGCTTCTAACCAAAAGGTCAGCAGTTCGAATCCACCAGCTGCTCCTTGGAAATCCTATGGGGCAGCTCTACTCTGTCCTGTAGGGTCGCTATGAGTCAGAATCGACTCGATGGCAATGGGTTTGGTTTGGGTTCAGATTGTAAGCATTATTAGCCCCAAGTTTGCAAAGCAAGTTAGTAGAGCCTGGATTCAATTAGGTCCTTTTTGTTCCAAGTCCAACAGTCTTTCCAGGACATCACAACTAACTCTTAGAGATACAAATTTAAGAAGGTGCTAAAGGAAAAAAGGAGACAACAGAATGAGGGGCAGGTAAGTGCCTAGATTTGGGGAGTGTAGGTTTGGGCAGTGTTGCTTAGTGAATGAAGCACTGGACCAAGAGTCGCCGTTCAGGGGTACCACTGTGTAGTGGATGCTTTGGTGCAAGCCCAGAACACCCATTCAGGACCCCATTCAGGACCAAGGCACTCGTTCCCTCAGTTGCTGGGAGTGTTGGCTGCTGATGGCTCACAGCAGGCCCTCTCCTGGAACTGCCTTCTGCCTGAGAGGAGCTACCCACCCAGAAGTAACACCTCCTCTCTAAGGCAGCCCTCATCCAGTGACAAAGGCTCCATTTCTTGTCTCAGTCGGGGATCACTTTGCAGGGCCCTCCCAGTGCCAGAGCCCCCACGGGGTCCACAGAGATCTCTGTTGCATTTGCTTTGCAGTTCATCTTCTCCCTGGGCCCAAATCCTCCCTCCCTGACAACCTTCCAGGTGCTGCTCCTGGAACTACCCTCCAACAAATGTCCTACACACAAATCTCTGTCTCAAGTCTCTTTCCAGGGAAACTGACTGTAATCATTACGGTTGTGCATCAACTTGGCTGGGCCATGATTCTCAGTGGTTTGGCAGTTATGATGTAGTTTGGCATTCATATCATGATGTGATTACCTCCATGATGGGATCTGCTGTGAGTAGCCAATCAACTGAAGAGGAGTTTCTTGGGGGTGTGGCCTGCATCCAACACACGTGTACTTTCTGGCAAGGCTCATGGGCTTTTGCTCACTCTGGATCCTGCAGCTAGCTCTTGTTTGCCTGACCTCTGGTTCTCCGGACTTGAACTAGCAGCTTACCTGCCATCTTCCCTGCTGATCTTGGGATGCATTGATCTTCACAGCCCATGAGCCAGAGCCCTGCTGTTTGACCTGCTGATCTTGGGTTCACCAGCCACTGGAGCTACATCAATCAGAAGCCTCCAGCCTGACCCACGGACTTGGGACATTCCAGCTTCTACAATCATGGGAGTCATTTCCTTGATACAAATCTCTTTATATATATATAAATTTATATGCTTTATTGGTTTTGCTTCTCTAGCCCACCCAGCCTAACACACCGACCTATGATCCACTGCCATCAGGTCACCACACGAGAGACGAGCTACTGAGTACAGTGGAATGAGCTAACGTGTAGTCAGTCTCCACAGTGGGAGAACCTTGCTCCATCCAGTGAAGTGAGGCACCAGTGCAACTGCAGCAGGAAATGAAGTCAGGAGACTTTGTAATGACTTTGGCTTTTATTTGGACCATGATGGAAAGCCAGTGGAGGGTTTTAGGCATAGGAGTGATATGATCTGACATCTTTTAACAGCTTCCTCTGGCTGTTGTGTTGAGAATAGACTGGGAGGGGGCAAGGGCAGATGCAGAAAGGTGTTATCAATAACCCAGGAGAGATATTAATAGTGGCTTGGGTGACAACAGTAGGGGGAGTGAGAAATAGTCAGATTTTGGATATTTTGGACATGGGGTGAGAAAGACAGGAGCCAAGAATGACTCCAAGATTTTGCAACTGAAGGATGGAATTGCAGTTTTTTTTAACGACCATGGGATCCACTGCGAGAAAGAGTTTGGAGAATATGAGGAGTTTGGTCATTTTAAGTTTGAGATGCTGACTGGACAAATGTCAAGTAGAGTTGGATGTGGGAATTTGGAGTTCAGAGGAGCGGTCCAAGAGGGAGATATAAATCCAGTGGTCCTTATAATAGAGATGTTATTTTTATTTAAGTCACAGACTGGAAAAGATCACCGAGTGGAAGTAGATAGAAAAGCAGTCCGAGAATTGAGCCTTGGGGGCACACCCACATCAAGAGGCTAGGGAGAGGACTGGTAACCAGCAAAAGAGCAGTGGGATAAGAGGAACCCAGAAGTGTGGCCTCCGGGTGAGTTAGCAACTCTGCTAAATGCTGCTGATAGGCAAATACGATGAGGACTGAGGACTGAGCCGCAAGAGTCTCTGGCAACATCCACAGGCACTCTTTCAGTGGTGTGTGGATGCAAACCCCAGCCAGCATGGGTTCAAGAGAGAATGTACCCCAAAAGCAGGAGTTAAGACGGTGGCTCCATTATGTACTTTGTTGACACTGGGCTGAGGGTAGAGGGAGGGAGGTAGGAAAAAGCCTTCCAAGCACCACTACCAGAGCAGCCAGAGAACCTCCTCCAGTTCCAGCTCTTCAGCAATCACCCCCGGGCACAGGGAAAGCAAAGAATTGAGGAGCGCAGGGTCACCCAGCACACTCACGGTCCTGTTCTGCCTAAGGACCAAGCTCACTGTCAGAGTGGCTAACACAGAAGCAGCCTCTTCACACTTCTTTCAGAAAGACCCCTCAAGGAATCTAAAGGGTGGCCCCGAAGCAGAATGAAACCCAAGAAAGCAAAGAGTAGGGTTAAGGTTGGGCTGATACACAATGATTTCTGTAGATTCTCTTCCAAAAAGTGACTGGGTATATTACAGTGCAGCTAAATGACACACGACACAAGTCCAGTTAGCAAATCAAAAAAGTTTTATATGATTCAAAGAAAAAAGTTACATTACATATACTCTTTTAAATAATAAGTCGAAGTCTGTTACATAAAACATAATTAGGAAACATTTAAAATTTTATTATTGAAACTACTAAAAAAGGCTCAAAGTCAAAAAAGATCAAGCGAAACTGCTCAGGCAATAAAGTGCACTGGGGAACCTGCCTCATCACGCTCTGCCCTTACCACCCAGAGCCATCCAACCACCAAGGGCCAACCGATGAGGAATCCACACCGAAACAACACACAACGAGGGTTCTGGTTCTCAGGATAACTAGGGAACTGGTTCCCAACTTAGTCTTTCCATGGACAAACTAAAAAACAGAGGTCATTTATAGACGGTATTTCTAAATCTAATCAGGAAATGGAAGCGTAAATTAAAACATCTATTTTCAATACATTTCTTCTTTAGAAACAACACACCTCAAAGAATGAAGTTCTATGTGAGACTCAACCAAATACTCAAAGATCTTGTATTATCCACCAGAACAACTAGTATTATTTTGCATGTTATAATTTTTAAAATATGCAAATTTGATGCCATTTACGGCATACACATAGTCAAAAATGTTTACGCTGATTTAAGACATGAGTGGGGGAGAGAAAGGACTGGGTTGGTGGGGAAAAAACATGAGATATATACATTTAATTATAGTTCTCTTGCAACTGGATTATGTCTCATGACAAGTAGGAATACTCAACTATGAAAGTGTCCAAAAACGTGAAAACCTCCAAAAAATACAGGCAGCACTTACAAACATATATGTCAAATAGCAGTTGATAATAACGGGCAACATAATGGGTGTCAAGTATAACACACAATGGATGATCAGGTGAGGTCTGTATCAAACACAAAACTTAATTACATTTAATTATCCAATATTTCACCTTACCGTCATTTTAATAAAGGTAAATGCCAATAACTAAAGGGCAAAGACAAAATCTAAATACACACCACACAGTAAAAAATATTCCCAGGCTAACCAAGTAGTGCAACATTCCATATGTTCCTTGCATTTATTCTGTTGCCTGAATTTCTAACAATGTTTAACAAAAAAGTTTCAGTGGCTTACTTGGCACAGGAGGACAGCGTCTCTTCTATATCTAGAACATTTACTATGTTCAGAGTGGTGCCTGTGGTCTATTTTCTAGGTAGACTGCAAAAAACTTCTCGCTTCTCCTCTGTTCCTATTTAGTTTGATCAAAAAATTTTCCTCCAAACAAAAGGGATGAAAGGACAGCTGGGGAGTATTACTGCCATTTAGCATAACTTGCATTTCCAATGGTTTTTATTTCTTAATAAAGGAATTCCAACTCTGGAGCTGGGCAAGGGCACACGCACAGACAAGCTGTACTTTGGTGGAAAGTTCATTCAACCCATGAGGACATTTCCTTTTACTCTAAGTTATTCTACCCACAGTAAGGGTACCTCAAAAGGCCACATCAAATGAAGTCAATTTACAATTTACAAAGCGGCAGGGTGTGAGTGCTTACATCATCTTTTTGGTGTTTTAGATACACACAGGACTGTGAATGGTTTGTCTTCAGCAAAGCAATGGCCCAAAAAGACACATGTTAAACACAGACACTCAAATCCTATAGCAACTCCCTGCTCACTGGGTATATTAGGTATTTTAAGTTATCCTCTGGGGTACACCCTTCATAAGTCACATCATGGTCACAGGTTAACCAAAATTTTAGTTCCTTGGGCTGCAAGCCCAGAAGGAATGGATGCTTGGAATTTTGCCTGAAAATGTCACAAAGAAGCTGATAGCAAAGTTCGTTTTTCCCTTTTCTTTCAGAGGCCCTTTTGAACCAGTTCTGATTCTAAAAAACTCTTAGATCTAAAAGGCCTGTTTACGTACTTGTGATTTCCTTTCGGCTGGATAATGCGCCAAGTTTATTAAAAAGGGTCACTATAAAACTTTGTTATTAAACATTGGAAAGCAGGTTGCAAAATCATCTATCTAGAAATTGGTGGGTTTTGAGCACAACAATATAAATATTTTTTATAGAAAACCGTATAAAAATTAGTACCCTGTCTCATTTCTACAAAACATGAATAGAAAGGTTGTAAAAATCCAGATTTTGTAAACTTTATTGCCGAAATATTTGAACGCTGGTGATTTAGCTCATCAAATTTTCTTCTATTTCCTTAACAAAAAATTCTGAAAACTACAAAAGATATTGAACAGGGTCCCAACCAAAAAAGAAAAGTTGACACACTTTCAGCAGAACCAGCTCCCCACTACCTCCTAGCCCCCCAAAACGATTTTTTTTTTCTTTTGGGAGAGGAAATGACCAATTCTCTATTGTGTTACTTCCATTCCTGAATAAAAAAGGCTTAAAAAAAATCCCGTTGGTAATTCCCTGGCTGACCTTTCAGGCAGAGACCGGCATGGTCCCGAGGGGGCTCCCAGGTTTTTCCGCCAAGGCAGTTCTGTTCAGTTTGCCAACCTCTGCCTGCCAGCCAGGGATCTTCTTAGTAGTCATGTGACGCCGGGCATGCTTCGTCAAGTGGTCACTGCGCATGAAACGCCGATCACACACTGGACACACAAACTTCTTCTCCCCTGTGTGCGTTCTACGGTGGCGAGAAAGTTCATCTGAACGAGCAAATTTTTTATCACAGCCATCCCAGCTGCAATTGAAAGGCTTCTCCCCTAAGAGGTGAGAAAACATATGTTAAAGAAAAATCAAATGTTCAACGCTTTATTGGATGGGTTAATTTATGTAGTTTTAAAATTCTGTTCCCCTAAAAACTCAGAGGAAGAAAGTAATAGCCTATTATTCTTGTATTGGGTTATTTGAAAGTCAAGAAATTCTCCAAAATGCATTTTTTCCTACCACACCTAAGATGTAGTTTGTCAAGGCCCAAAATGACAAAATAATAATCTAATCTTTCAAAAGGAGATTTTTTAAATAAAAATAAATGTTATAGCTTGGGGTAGGGCTAAGATTCTTGAAAAGAAGTAATTCCTTCCTTCTCAAGATAAGCTGCATATTAAAAAAAAAAAAAATCCCTCCCAGGATCTATAAGACTCCTCAGAATCATTACTTCCATCTTCATATTTCTTGTACACTGACAAGGAGTTTAGCAACAAAACAAAAGGGTTAGAATTCTAATGTTCACCTTGTCACAAGCTTCCAGGCTGAAAGAACAGACTAGGAATCTCATCTTTGTCATTCTTTCATTCAAAGTTCCAGAGCACCCAGCAGGTGCCAGGTCCTGTGCTTCCTGGAGTTAAGACATGAGAAAGATCTGTGTTCTCCGGGAGCGAGCACAGGGAAGCCCTCCTAACAGAGCCCTCCAGGGCCTTTCCAGAAGCAGGGGCTCCCCCTTTTCTGCATCCCAAAGCCCTTCTCTTCACCAGGCTTTTAACAACCACACACAGCTTGTGAGACCTTGTAAACGGATTTGTGTCAACACTGGCGCACACTATTATGTAACCCACCTTTCTATGGGTTTTGCCTAGTTTACCCACCTTTGTACAGCTAAGTCTCCAGCACAGCACTCTGCTGAGCAAGTGGCTCATAAATGGTTTTGAATGAATAGGTGTTCAAGAGACCCCAACTAAATACCTGATATTTTTCAGAGCTGAATTAATAGGAAAATTCAGCATCACAATGGTGTTTTCTAATGATTTCAAGAACCAGAGCCTGAAACATTCTGGATCACAAAGACTCCACGGTGTAAGCACAAACATGCCCCACCTGTTCCCAAGAGCCCACTGCTGTCAAGTCAATTCGAACTCACTGGAAACCCTGACGGCCTAGTGGTTAGAAGCTACAGCTATGAACCAGAAGGTCAGCAGTTCAAATCCACCAGGTGCTCCTTGGAAACTCTCTGGGGCAGTTCTACCCTGTCCTATAGGGTTGCTATGAGTTAGAATGGACTCAAAGGCAATGGGGTTTTTTTAGTTCCCTGGAAACTGCCACCTACTGCTGGCAGCATACCAGATGCCCAGGTACTGGACAGAGACCGACGGTCCTTTTGGCAGGGCCTTTACAAAACGCCCTGTACAACGGCAGTCCTTGTTTTCAACACATCCAAAATGTAGCCTTCACTCACACCACCTTATCCTAATTTCTAAACTTTTCAGGTTGGTAGAAACAAATGTAAAACCATCTTTTTTTTTTAATTGTACTTTAGGTGAAGGTTTACAGAACAAATAGTTTCTCATTAAACAGTACACATATTGTCTTATGACACTGGTTAACAACCCCACGACATGTCAACCCTCTCCCTTCCTGACCTTTTTTTTTGGTGAAAATGTACATAGCCAAAGACACACCATTTCAAAAATTTCTTCATGTACAATTCAGTAACAGTGATTACGTTCTTCCAGTTGTGCTGCTATTCTCACTTTAGATGAAGGTTTACAGAACAAACTAGTTTCTCATTAAACAGTATACAGGTTGCCCTGTGACAATGGTTAACAACCCCACTACGTGTCAACACTGTCCTTACTCAACCGTGGGTTCCCGATCACCAGCATTACTAGCTTTCCTGTCCCCTTCTGCCTTCTAGTCCTTAGCCCTGGACTGCTGTGCCTCATTAGTCCCATTTTGTTTTATGGGGCTGTCCAAAAGCAATCTTATCCAAGGTAAACTTATCTAACATTTCTATTTCTTACAAAAACTGCCATTTTTTTTCTTTTTTTTTTTTTTTTACAAATAACTATTTAGTGTTTACAAGATGATCCAAGTTGATTCTTCAAAACGTTTAGTTATTTAAATTGAAGTACTTTGGAAAACATGAAAATAACTTGTTCTGATCATCTTATACTATGCCATTCTGTCAGTACTTCTACCAGATGAGGATTACTGAATACACAGTAAAACCTCATTCAATTGCCTCCTCAAATCTGGAGTCCATGCTTTTATGTGAAGTTAACCTCGGTAGTAAAAGTGAAAAGCAGAGCTTACTAAGGTAAATGAGCTGTAAGAGAAGCAAGCATGTTAAGTCCCTTGAAACACCCGATGACTTTTATACCATGAGAGTGTCCACACTGCAGGTAGAACGACAAATCATCATTTACTAGTGTCAGGCTCTGCTGTCTGACACCAAGAATTTATGATCCAGGTGAGATATGACCAGTATGGAAGTAACTATAATACAAAAGAGAATGTGGTGAGAAATACAATAAACCAAGAGGGTCAAGGAAGGAAAGAGAGATCAGGGAACACTTCTAAGAACTGATCTTGGGAAGGACCTTAAAGGGTTTTCACTAAGTAGAGACAGACAGAAGCAGGGACGGATTCCCCAATAAGCCAGGGAAGCATGTGCTTAGGGCATCAACAGAACAGGAGTACCAGTCGCCCAAAGCAAAGACTCACAGATGCCAAGCAGACAGGACACAAGGAACAAAGAGTGCTGCCATGGAAGTGAACTGGCAGAGCACTAACGAAACTGATACCATTTCATAAATACTGTAGGCGGTAACAGTGATATCTTGCTTCTCATTTCGGACCCATCGGGATAACCTCTCACTCAGTTCTCTCTCGCTGATAACATTAAGAACGTGCCAGTGGCACTGTAACTGTGTAACGCGTGATGTATCTGATCCTGTGCAAAGGAAACCAAGACGTGTCTTCAGATTGAGCGTACTCTTATATTTGTATCATGCTTTGTGATCACTCTTGCCCCCGTTGGGTATTAGCCGTAGACCAATGAACTGTGAAGACGCAGCATCAAAGGACAGAAAGTGCACAAGTTTTTAAGTATTATTTCAAGACGAAAAACACTCACGGAGAACTGCGAAGGGCCCACCAACAAACATCATACGACACACAAATGAAATTATTTCCAACTGCCTTGCAAGTACTATTTCTTTTGACTATCTCAGCCCTGAAGAACAAAATTACATGTTCCAAATCAATTTTTTTACTTACTGATTTTCAAATATAAATTTTTGTGTTAACATCCAAATTCGAATGTAAATTTTATTTTTAAAATTTTATTTATTTTCAATTATTCCAGTTTATTTACCGCCAAATCAAACCAAACCCGTTGTCATCGAGTCGATTCTGACTCACAGTGACCTTATTTGCTATGGTAGAACCCAATGTAAAAAGTGACATAATTTTATATCCAAGTAAAAAGAAACAGCAACAAATACGTGCAGTGCAAAAACGAAAGCCCACAGAAGATAAAAAGAAAAGGATCTGGGGATTCCTAAAGACAATTCCAAAATTAACTTCCTTTTTAAAATGTAATGAATCAGAAAAGACTTCTTCAATTGAATGCATGAGCTTAAAAGTGCAAATTGTTTCAGTAGTCCCACTAATGCTTAAATTACTAACAGCAGTATGAACGTAATAGAACTGGTTCCAAATACGGAATCCATTCCTTCCCGCAGTAAAAAAAAAAAAATTAATAATGGTGTAGAAAGTGGAACTATTTTAGGATCTGAAACTGTTGTATCTGCAGCCCCCATAAATAACAAATACAGATTCTGCTTTGTGGAATAATTTTCTTCTAATAACGTAAACTACTGGATCGAAAGAGGGCCAAGTGATTGTCAACATCACAGCAGACCATCTGAAAATTTTGCGTCGAGAATTTCTGGATGGTTAACAAATAAGATTCTGTAGCCTGAATACATTTCTAGGGTGCAAACCTAATGGTGAAAATCATAAGAGGGAGTGGCTACTGTATTCTCCATCAGTTGGCTCTGCATATTGTTTTGTTTGAGAGCCATTCAGTCCTAAATCACTTCTCAATATTGCTACGGATGGATTTAGCAATCGGTTCAACTCAAATATGACTGATAACATGAAAACAGTTCAATTCACAGAGATTGTATGTTGTCATATCTAAACCGAAGACCTCTCCAACAGATGGAAAACCTGTCAAGCGATTTATCACATCTACTAGCTTAAAAAGTCAGACTGGTGAAGAAATCGCAAATCAAGTACTTCACTATTTATGTCAAGTTTGCAAAACTGATTTTTCTAAGTGCAGAGGTCAGTCCTGGGACAATGCTGCCAATATGTCAGGGTGTTCTAAAGGCATGCAACAGGTAATTTTACAACATGATGAATATGCCATTTTCGTACCATGTACTGCACATTCACTTAATCTTGTAGGACAGAGTGCAATAGCTTGCTGTCCAGAAGCAGTTGATTTTTTTTCTTCTGCTCAGTTACTACTCGCTCATTTTTTTTGCCACCTCTACTCACTGATGGACAGTTCTTAAAACATATTTGTCTTTCCTGAATCTGTAAACTTAGTTCTCATGTAAGAATAAAATTGTTGCACTTCTCTGTAAAGGGCTGTATCTAAGTCATCAGGAGCCCTGGTGGCACTGTGGTTAAAACACTTGGCTGCTAACTGAAAGGTCTGCAGTTCACATCCGCCAGCCACTCCATGGGAGAAAGGGAGAAATATGTAGCAGTCTGTTTCTGTAAAGATTTACAGCCTCGGAAACCCTATGGGGCAGATCTACTCTGTCCTATATGGTCACTATGAGTCAGAATTGATTCAAAGGCAGTGGGTTTAGGCACGTATGATTCCATAACAGAAGATAAAATACACTGCATATTTCCCAATGCTGAAACCGCTTTATGCGTTATTCCTAACTTTAATGATCACAAATTGCACAACAGAACACTCATTTTCATCCCTAAAGAGACTCAAAATCCCTCAGCGTACAATTCA